GCTTCAAATTCAATTATTTTTTTAAAGAAAAATATTTTAAGTTTTTTTTTTTTTTTTTTTATAGATTTTTTTTTTTTTTTTTTCTCTGTTTACATAACATAAGAATTTTACAGATTCTACTACATAATATAAAATTTAACAAAATAAGTAAAACAGATAGGGACTCAAAGAAGATGAGGATGACAGAACGTCATCGCAATCTTTTCATAGAACCCCTTTAACAAGATTTAATTAAAATATCGTAATATGACATACAAAATAAAAATGTCAATAAAATATCATAACAAAATGCGTAATCCGCTAATAAAAATTGTCAAGCAACAAACAAAAGTAGAAACAAAACAAAAACTTATTTAAGAGAATTTATCCAAAGCATTATTAACAAAAAATGTTTCACAGGTTTTAAAGATTTCTTTTTTTGTTAAAAACTTGAATGAACTTAACGAACTCACCATACCTTTGAACTCTTTCTGAAAAATATTCCATACCTTTGGACCTTTATATAAAATGCTGTATTTTGAATATTTATTTATTATCCTTGGCAGTTTATATGTGTTCAACATATTCGCTCTAAGATTATAGTTATCATTTTTATTTAACTCAAACTTATTATTAAAGCTTATAGGAGAGATATTGTGATTGTAACGATACATGAAAATTAAATGCTGGTAGATATTTATTTCAAATACATTCATCATTTTCGTATCTTTCATCAAGGGATTAGCGTGTTCCCGCCTATTTTTAAAGTAAATGATTCTACAGGCATGTTTCTGAAAACTATAAAGTTTCTTAAGCTTTGCTGTTTGAGTACTTGCCCATGAAATGTTTGCATAGCTGATGAGGCTGTGAATTAGCTCAAAGTAGATTAATTTAAGACTATTTGTATTAATGTGCGAGCGAACTCGATACATTAAACCTATGATTTTGGTAATTTTTGACTGGATATATATTATATGAGAAAGCCAGGATAATTTTTCATCAACAACGATTCCCAAGAATTTTATATTGGATTGCTTTTTAATTAATTTATCATTTATAAATAGGTTCGGCAACTTGAGAGGAAGATTTTCTTCTTGTGTTTTTTTATGAAAAAGTATATAGTTTGTTTTCTCGGTATTAAGTGAGAGTTTGTTAGCCTTAAACCAGTTATTTACTTTATTTAGTTCAATATTCATGTCCGCATATAATTTCTTGATATCGTTGTTGGTAAGAAATAAATTCGTGTCATCTGCAAACATGACTGAATTAAGTTTTAAGGATCCATTACAGAAGTCATTTATATATATTAAAAAAAGAAGTGGACCAAGAATCGATCCTTGCGGAACTCCACATACGACATTTAACACTCCAGATTGGGCATTATTTACATATTGTTTTCTGTTAGTAAGATAGCTTTTAATCCAATAATAAGTTTTATTAACTATTCCCTAATGTCTTAATTTATCTAAGAGAATACAGTGGTCCACTGTATCAAATGCTTTTGATAAATCAAGAAATACTCCTAAAGTAAATTTATTATTTTCAAAACCATTAGTTATTTGATTTACTATTTCAATGATTGCATGCTCAGTAGAGAGATTTTTTTGAAAACCAAACTGATTTGGGTAAAAAAAATTGTTTTTAATGAAGTAATCATAGATTCTATTATAAACTACACGTTCGAATAGTTTTTAAAATACAGAAAGTACTGATATAGGCTGTAGTTTGTAATGTCAGAATGATCATTACATTTGTACATTGGAGTTACTTTTGCTAATTTAAGTACATCCGGAAATATCCCAGAATTTAACGAAAGCTTTAGTATATGTATTAGAGGTCTTTTAAGACTGTGTTTGTTTGCAATAACTATATTACTAGATATTTCATCAAATCCCGGAGCCTTTTTTTTTTTTAACGAGGAAAAAGCTGCCTCAAATTCTTCATAGGTTAATTCATAATCAACCATGATAACATTATTCATTGGTTTAAGGAAAGTTTTAAATGATACAGATGTTGGTACTATTTTTTTTACAAGATTTGGACCAATACTTGTAAAATATTTATTAAATTCTTCCAAAGTTTGTTTTTGGCTAAATATATCGTTGTTTTCAATAACAATTCGTTTAGGTAGAGAAGGTGAATTTAGTTTTTCTCTTCCCATTATGACATTGATGATGGACCATGTTTTTTTGCAATCAAATTTGCATTTGTTAATTTGATTACTGTAATATTTTTTTTTTGCATTTTTAATGAGATCTTGGTAAAAATATTTATAATTTTTGTAATTTTTTTCATTATCATTGTTTTTATTTTTCAGAAATTTATTGTAAAGTTTTTGCTTTTTTTTTGAGCACTTTAATAACGATTTATTCATCCACGGATTAGCAATTGCTTTTGACTTAATTCTTATATTCTCTTGAGGACAGGTTTCATTAAAGTACTCCAAAAATGTACTTAAAAAAGCATTGTAAGCTCCATTTGTATCTTGACATTTATATACGTTGTTCCATGTTTCTTGTTTTAGTCTATTTGTTCCATGAAATTGGTGTGAGCCAACAATTAGCATATATTGCCGGTAGTCTATTTATTAGTGTTACTCATTTTTAAATTTCGTTTTTTCAAATGTATGATTTTTGAATGACAATCAGTCATAGCTTTTAGATTTTTTGTTTTTATGAATACCGGGAATAGATAATTTTTACATTTTATAATTATATAAAAATTAAAAAAAAATTATGGTAATTTTTAAAAAAATTGATTTTTATGAAAAAAAAACCCGTTTATTTTTCCCCTTATGATTGGGGAAAAGCAAATTAGTTCAATTTTAATAACAATTGCTTAAGATATTAAGAAAATTAAAACTAAATTAAGATATTAAGATGATCAAGCTAAATTAGTTAAAAATAAAATGAAAACTAAACTTATTAGAAGTTAAGTTTACAAAAAAACTATTTTAATCAAATATACGAAAAAAACTATTTATTAATTAAATAAATTTAAGTTGTTTCATCGGCAGAAACAGGTTCGCGGCATTTTTTCATGCAAAAAAACTCTTCACCAATTTCTTTTTGGGTAAACATGATCGACAAACCCAAGACGTGCAGCTAAAAGCTTCACATTTTTACCACATTTTTTTTTATTTGGCAATGCCTCTTCCCAAACTCTGCGACACTTTTCACACCTCTTGATGTCTTTGCTTTGTCTCGGTTTTTTTGAATGTTGCACTTGCTGAGTTTCATCTGAAGCTTCACTGAAGTGAATCTTGCTTTTCTTTAATTGCTATAACTTTTTGGCCTCATCGTCTTGCTTTAGTTTCTTGAACACCGCAGATGTACTTAGACACTGGCCTTCAACTTTTTGGAAAGTTGACTCTCTTGGTTTTTTTTTGTGTGTCAATATGGTGGCGCTGTAAAACACTTTATTGCGCTGTATTTGATACGTTTGAGCAGGACTCACTAGTGTTGTTGTTAAATTTTGAAGTTGGCGAGTCGTTGGAGTTTGATGCTGACTAATACTAGATGATGATATAGGCTGGGATGAGGTTGATGAAGCAGGCTCGGTTGAGGATACTGAAGCAGGCTTGGATGAAGATTATGAAGCAGGTTGAGATGATGCTTGAAATGTTTGAGCAGTTTGTAATTTTGATTGATCAACTTTGCTAATATCAAGTGGGAACAAACCAGCGTTTTGAAATCCAGCGATTATTTGTGTTTGTGTAAATGCGTCACTGGTGCTAAAAAGTTTTGCTTTTTGTTGAATGAAATTTTCTTTTGTTAAGTTGTTAAAATTTTTAGCTGCATAAAATTCTGTAAGTAATTTGCGTCAAACTCGTTTAACGTGACAATACACACCTACGTCTAACGGTTGAATTATATGGGACGAATGAGCTGATAAACATATCAGCCTGATGTTATTGTCAACGCAAATACGTGCACATACGTGTGACGTGTCCATACAAGACTAAAATGTGAATACCTGTAATAGAAAAAAATTTGATCAGTTGATTAATTGATTAAACTACTCAAATTAAGTAGACTAAACTAATTACCCGGAATTAATTTAGTTGCCGAAATGAATACTTTGGTTAGCCATTGAATAAATTGTTTCTCTTTCATTCAACCTAACTTGGATGTTATAAATACGGTGTTTGGTGATCCCCTACACACCAGTCTTTGTACAGACGTGATGTTTGTAAACTAAGAATAGTGGCAGAATGGTACCGGTATCGTTGACACAATTACCAACTGTGTAATTATTTTTTTTGCTGTGACCAACCAATTTTAAAGGTCGTTTAGCACCGAGCCCACAAATTATATGCTGTTTACCTTGATCGCCTGAAAATCCAATTTCGTCAAAATTCCACAAGTTCCACGAAATGTTATTGTTGATATTTTCTTCAAGAAATTTTTTTCGAAGTGTATTAAAATAACTTGTTATTTTGTCTTTGGTACAAGAGGAAGCTCTGAAACGAAATATTGCCTGCTACTCTGACGCCTAATTTATGATTCTATCATTTCATGAAACCTTGATACCATTCTCGTCCTGGTATACCACTTGGAAGAAACAAATGACTTTGATTTGTAGATACTAAATATCTCCCAACTATTGTCATGTCATCCGCGAACGTTCTGCCGAAACCCCAATCGGCTAAACTGATAAGTATTGAAACAAAGGCAAATTCAAATGCGTTAGTTGTATCTCTACCATGTGATTGAACTGTGTTGTGCACACGCTCGTGAAGAGTTGCCTTTGGTATGTTACATGTCTCTGAAACTTCACTGAGTGGTATTTCCTTTTTTTTAATTTGTTTTAGCGCAAGTTGCATCACTGTAAGTTGTGTGCACTGTAAAAAACCTTGTGTTGAAAATCAACACTTGATCTTGTGTTACTTCCGTTAAACACAAGTTTGTGTTAAATTATAAAAATATCATTCAAAAGCGCATGCGTTACCTGCAAAAATTATTTGTTAACACAAGACTTGTGTAGAGGAATTCTCAAGATACGCATGCGTAACACCTCATGGAATTTGTACTATTTCAAATATATTTTTAAAAATTTTAGGACAGCTTTTTTGAATCAAGATTAATAATTTTTAGTTTGTAGTTAATTACTTAAAAATTTTTCATCACTGTTAAGTATTAACAATGGGTTATTTTTGTGTTTTTTGTGAGTCTATTTTAGTATCATTGAAGACTGTAAGTGATCTTTTAAAACATTTTCATTATCGCCATGGTATTACTTCAACACAAAATTGTAAAATTTCTTGTAGACAAAGTGGCTGTTGCAGAACATATGACAGTGTCCATTCCCTTAAAATTCATTTATATAGAAAGCATCCAATTGACCCTCATTTGGAATATAACGATATAAATATTTATCCTATGGAAAGCAATGGTGAGCTAATGGATCAGCTAGGTATTTATACAGCAGCACATATTGATAAAGATAACAGAAATACTATATATTTTTCAAGTAAATTAAATGGGGAAAAGATAAAAGAAATGATTTTAGATGTTTTAATGACTCTAAGATGTCGTAACACAAGTGAAGTTATAATTCAGTATGTAGGTAAAAGTATTCAAAATATTTTATCCACAGTTATTGAAGGTGTACAAAAAACAATCCAAAATGATGAAACAGATGCTGGCAGAGTAAGTGATTTCCTAAATGATATTGAATGTGAGCGTGTAAAGTGTAGTTTAATTACATCTAGTTACCTGCAAAGAAAACACTTACAACAAAAAGGGATGGTTGCACCTATTGAAATAACTGCTGGGTTCAGATCTGAGATGCTTCATAAAGTTTATAAAAATAATGTAATGAGTTATCAAAATGAAACTATGCAGTATATTCCTATTCTAGAAACCATTTCTATGGTGATTTCAAAGTACTCCTTTGACAAAATAGATAATAACGTTTTAACAAAATTAAATAAATTAACTTGTTATAGTGATGCAGAACAATATAAGAATCATCCTTTATACAAGAAACATCCAGATGCTCTTCAGCTTCAACTATACTGTGATGATTTTGGAATCCTTTAGGATCAAAAACTAAAGTTCACAAAGTTTGTGCAGTTTATTTGTCCATCAAAAATGTTAACATAAAGAAATGCTCTAAATTGACTAACATATATCCTGTAATTTAAAGGACTTGGTAGCTCTAGAGAAACGAGTTAAATTGTATATAAATGGAAATTACATTTGCATATATGGTGCAGTAGTTATGTGGTCTGGGGACAATCTTGCATTGCACCAAATTTTTGGATTTAGTTCAAACTTTATTGCCAACAAGAGCTGTCATTACTGCTATACAACAAAAGAACAAATGCAACACACTTTTTATGAAGAAGATCTAGACTTTAGAACTAAAGAGCGTTACATTGCAGATTGTCAAGCACTTTTTAGTGAAGCTAATAGTAATAAATTATCTGGTGTATATAAACAAAATCCATTGTCAGAGCTTCAGTATTTTTCTGTTCCTGATAACATTTGCCCAGATTCAATGCATGACATACTTGAGGGTTGCTTACAGTATGAATTAAAAATAGTTCTTCATCGCTTATTACTAATTGATTGCCTGTTGACAATCCAGGAATTCAATGGTCGATTGCAAAACTTTAATTTTGGCATTGATAAGAAAAATAGGCCGTTGCATATAACACGTGAAAAACTTGTTTCTAAAGACAAAAGGTTAGGTTTAAATGCAACACAAAGTTGGTGTTTAGGAAGATTTTTTTGTTTGTTGCTTGGTGATGTTGTAGATACTGATAACCAGTACTTTCATTTAATTCATTTATTATTAATGGAAATATGTGGAATAACCTTTGCTCCAAAAGTGACTGTTCATTTAATAACTTATTTAACAGAGGTCATTAGCATTCATCACAAGTTGTTTACAAAAATATTTTCTGGACATACTGTTATTCCAAAACAACATTTTCTTGTCCATTATCCTTCAAAAATTTTACAACTAGGTCCTTCACCAAATTATTGGTGTATGCGATTTGAAGGAAAACATGCTCCTGCAAAGGAGCAATGTCACATTTTGCACAACTTTAAAAATGTTTGCAAAAGTGTTGCATGGCGTCAGCAAATACAATTACATCTTGATTTGTCAAATTTTGCAAGTATACTCAGTGCAGAAGTAGGTCCTGGTATTGAAATTATGCCTGCTTGCTTACCTTTGCCAGTGGCTGTTTTTGGTGAAATTCCACTGTATGAAGAATGTTTTTGTGCAAATTATGCAATCACAGATGGTGTAAAGTACATGCCAGACTTTATTGTAGTTTTAGGGCTAACCAATCTTTGTCTCCCACGTTTTGGAAAGATTCTATATCTACTTGTCCGTGAAAACGAATGCACACTTATAGTTGAAAATCTTTTTACCATACACTATGATGCTCATATTGCTGGCTATAATGTATGTAAAACATCTAAATATACAGCTGTTAAAATTGACAATTTATTTGATTCTCATGTACTGTCATTGTCAACTGGCTTCAGAAAGTATTCTGATAAAAGTTTTGTTTTAACAAGACATGAATATATTAGCCTGGATATAATAACATAATTTTTTAGTTTTGATATTGATTTGATTTTGTTATTAATGAAACAAAATTATGAAAATGAAATATTTACCAACTTTTGTTTTTTTAAATTATGAATTTATTTTGAAATTATGTATTTAAGTTAATAATGTAAATAGGCAATTTTTGTTCAAACATGGATAATTTTTATTGATTTTCTTTGATTTTCTTACTTTTAGTAAAGTTTTTTTCTAATAATGGAGGAAATTAACAACTTCTTAAGTTAAGTTCTTCCAGTGGAGTATATTAATCGTCTCCTGCCTCATTTGGTAGAGCTAGGTGCTAGTTCAATGGAAGATTTGCTGTTTTTAAACGTTGAAACAGACCTGCCTAATGTACTACCTCCTCTTAAGAGACGTAAATTAGAAGCAGCTTTAGCAACTTCAAATTCTAAGCCTGTTCATTCGCAAAATGTGGACCTTATTGGTATGTTAATACAATTTATTTTTAGTACACAAATTTCATTTTTTGTCATTTTTTATTGATGCGACATGCAAATAGTAACAGTTTGTTATATGATTTACTTTATGATGCACAATAGAAACATCTGTGGTAACTCCCATTGCATGTACCAAAAAAGATGGTACCTAATATTTTATTATATTTTAACATTTTTTTTATTTTATTGTTGATTTTTTTTAAATATATTTTTATATTTTATTTAGGTTATATAGATATTTTTTTAATTTTCAATTTGTATAAATATTTCTTGTCAGTTTTTGAATTAAAATGTAATATGTTTGTTAGAAGATTATAGTTGCAACAGCGTTATACTCTTTGACTAGTTGATTAATTCAAAAACTTCTGTATTGGTTTCTTCTATTAGGTTGTGTCAATAACGGATGCAATAGAAAATCATTCTTTAAAAAATAGCATCATTATTGAGGCACAAAAAGCTGTAATGGATGATCGCTTGCATCGTCTTCTTGTCAAAGTAGCATGCTCTTACTTAATTGATTGCTTCGGAAAGTAAGTTATATAATATTATTTAAAAGTATATATAATTATAATACATGATTACATAATTATCTTATTAAAATATATATGTTAGGTTATCCTGCTACTGGTAACATGAAATCCAGTACAACCTGTTTCATGTTAACGTCAGGAAGGGCATCCGGTTGTAAAAAATTGCTTCAACTCTTACATAGTGGCATTTATGTCACTTTGTAGAACCATCCAAACCACACTAGTGTGGAAACATGGATGTAAAACTTGGAGAGAAAAAAAATAAAAATAATAATAAAAATGTTCCATTAAGTATGTTAATTATATTATGTGATTAATTTAATTTATTATAAATAACATAATTAATATAAGTAACATAATTGTATAGCTAATAAAATTAATTTGTTTACTATATATTTATATCTATTTAGTTTAAACTGTAATACTTTCTACAGCTATCCTCCACCAGAGCATCAATTAGTCGTGGCAAAAAGTATTGTTTCAACTTTTAAGTTTAGGGCATGTCGAAGCGGAAATGGACATGTAAGTTGTTTTGTTTTTTTTCAATTTTTTGTTTCAAAATTATGTAGTTGACTATACTTTTATTACCTAATATTTTAAACGTGTCAAACACACTGCACCATCTTTACATGATTCTAACTTTAATGTCTCAACAAATTTTCTTCTTGTATTATTATTAATTCAGATAATTGTAAAAATAAATTTAAGATTTGTTTGTTGTTTATTACTTAGTTTATTATTTCACAAAACTTATTAATGTTATATGATTGATTTTGATATCGTTTACTTCTCGTTAAAGATATAATTTATTTTAAAAAATAGGAATTATACTACTGTCCGGCTTACACTATGCTTATATTACTATGCTTATATTATAATGCTCATGTTAATACCATATTTTTTAATATTGGAAATCTTTTCTTAAAAATAGGACATAATACAGGGCTTATACATAATGTAATTTAGTATAAATATTATCTTTATAGTTTTATACTTTATGTGTTCTGTAAAATATTATTTGTTTTGTAATATTTTTTTACTATTAGGTGATGGGTTTATTGCTGTTCGAATCCGATCCGAAATAATTTACCGACTGCTAATAGGATACTTGAGGAATTTCTAAGATTTATGGACACTCCATTGTTGGTAAAAAAAAAATAATTCCTGGCTAGACAAATTTTTGAGGGGTAGTTTCAATTTTTGCATTAAATTAATTTGTAACATTTGCATTAAAATAATTTGTATCATTTGCTTGTACTATTCAGTTAAATGATGAATTCCAATCCATTAATCGAAGTTATGTAGAAAATATTCCAGTTTTATTGGAAACAAAAATTTCGAAACAAATAATTGCATACTGCAGGCTGACTGGCAAATGCATTGACATTATAGGTGACATAGATACTGAAGGGAACAGCAATACAGGTAAATAATCTCCAAAAAATCTTAAACGAAAAAGTTATATTTAATAAGTTATGTTTGTATCTATGTAAATGATATTATAATTTTAATTACGTTTAGATGCATTAGTACCAAAATCTTTAAAAGCCCTTGTTTATCTTTTGCCAACTATGGGAAAATATCGTGTTTCAGCAGGTGCAGCAATGCTTTTCCTAATTGAAGAACTAAAGGTAAGATTTATTTCGAAATCTCATTTGTTTCTTAAATTATTAATATACCATTAGTATATAATTTTAAGGAAGTATTAAATTTAATTATACTAACAACTGTTCAATCTTCTTTATCTCGTTATTTTACTTGTGTTTAATTTTTGTTCAATTAGATTTACTTCAAACTTAAAAAAATTGCATACTTTTTTTTTCAGGACGGCGAGACACTCGAGATGTTCCTTAATCGCTCAAAAAATCCAAAACAGCAACCGTTCATTTTGTCGTGTGGATCGTCTTTTTTTGTTGTATGCGATGGAAAAGCAATTATAGTTAAACCTTCGAAAGTTTCTGTTGCCTTTGACTGTCTTTTCAAGTCGTTTTTTGTATTTAATCTTGAATATCCAAAGCAACTACAAATTTTATACAATTTCTTTCAAGAATTAGTTTATAAACTGCCTGGTTCTGTTGCGTCCACTAAAGCACGTAAATTATTCGAAGAGATATCTCATATGTAGTATATTCAGAAACAATAAAGCCTCAAACTGATGCTGCCAAATTTAGACAGTAATTTAGGACATTTTAGTAATTTTAGCCTATATCTTCTTCTTTAAATTTTTTTTTACTGCAAATCTTTTATGTGAAACTATAAATTAAAAATATGCACGATATTTTCAGGTAATTTTAAAAATATATTTCAAACTACAAACATAACATATTATTTAAAATAAATGGATAAAGTATATACTAATATATGATGTAAATTTGGTTCAGATGATAAAATGAAATTATTAAACATACTTTTGTATTCTATTTCTTAACAAACTTTCAATAAAATGAAAGCATACCTCCTTTATAATTTAAATTTTAATTAAAAATCGTCGCGACTTTTTTTAGTCATTTAGTTCAATATTGCTGCGTAAAATATGTTTTACAGGGTTATTCATTCTTATATGCGCATTTATTCATTTTTATATGCGCCTTTATTCATTCTTATATGCGCATTTATTCATTTTTATATGCGCCTTTATTCATTTTTATATGCGCATTTATTCATTTTTATATGCGCCTTTATTCATTTTTATATGCGCCTTACATATGCGTTCTTACATGCGTTTTACAAAAGCAATTGTAAAAAAGCAATTTGAACAAAAAAAAAATCATTTAAGCCATTTGTTTTGAAAAAATAGTTTATTTTTTCAAAACAAACTTTTCTTATTTCCAGGTAAACGAGGTTAAAAATACTTAAAACGAAGACTTTTTAAATTCGACGATGGTTTATTTAATTTAGTATTAGTTTTTTGCAATTTTATTATTAAATTTCTTGATTGATTAAGTTATTATTTATCTAATTATTCATTTATCTCGATTTAAATTTACTTATTTATAATTATTATTAATATCAAATTATACATCCCTATGTTTGTATATGCGTCAACCACCCATAAAATCTCTAATATAATTTAATATAAACGATAAATACGCTTTTAAATTTTTATATAGACATATTTAAAATATGAATTAGGTTGTTTTCATTGTTATTTATTTAAGAAATGGTTGCCGAGCCAGCGCTTGATTTATATAACTACGCATATGGTTGTAAAATGGAACTATATTAAACTCTGTAATATTCATAATATTTTTAAGTTTCCTGATTACCTCATCCGTATTTAGAGGCCTTTCTCTCTGTTTGTAAGTATGATTTAAAGAAGAAAAAAGTTCTTCTATTGGATTAAGCTGTGGCGTGTAAGCTGGCAGATACTTGATAGCTATACCATGAGAGGCTAGTGTTTGCCTAACAGAAAGACTCCAGTGGAATTTACAATTGTCCTTAACAAGCACCGGCGCTTCCACATTTGCATTCCTAATCGCTGGTGCCATCATTGTAGTTATGAAAGTACAAAATGAATCTGCATTCCAGCCTCCAGTTTTTATTTCATAAGCAAGCACTCCCATTGTTGAAACAGCACAAATTAAACTAACATTCTTGCCACGATTTGCAGGCGACTGTAAAATTGCTGGCGCACCTCTTAGCGAATAACCATATGCTGTTAGTGTGCACATTAAATCCAGTTTCATCCAAATAAATAAGTTTTTCATCTGAAATTCCGTTAATTTCGCTTGCAAATACATAACGTGCATTAATAATTCGTGTTGAATTTCGTTCTTCTGGCACATGCACAACACGTTTTCTTGATAAATCCGAGCGTTTGAGTTTTCTTGAAATAGTAGGCTGAGACATGTTGAAGCCTGCTGCAGAAAGACTTTCTTTTATTGCGTGCAAAGATTGTTTTCTTGTACGCATAATTCGATAATATTTTTTATTTGAGCGTTTATAGGTCTTTCACCTCGTTTTTTATCAGAAGACGACTTGAATGCAGTTTAACGACACACTTAACGACAAGATTTTGAACTGTGCGCTTCGATAAATTAAGAGAAGTGGAAATGCTTGTTGTAGATTGATTTCTTTCAACTAAATGTTTAAGAATTTTAATGTGCTCTTTTCTAACATTTTTCCTTGTTTTACGATTGCTACTGCTATTTTCTATTCCATCCATAGGGTAAAAATTTGATATTAATAATTTTAAATAATTAAATAATAAATCTAGAAAAATAAATAATTAGCTAAAAAAAATCAATCAAAAAATTTAATACATTAATACAATTTAATACAATGTAATAAAATTAAACTAAGAACTAATACTAAATTAAATAAACCATCATCGAATGTAAAAAGTCTTCGTCTTATAAGTATTTTTAAACTCGTTTACCAGGAAATAAGAAAAATTTGCTTTGAAATAATAAATTGTTTTTTCAATGATTTTATTAAACGATTTTTTTTGGTTCAAATTGCTTTTTTACAATTGCTTTTGTAAACCACATATAAAAATGAATAAATGCGCATATAAGAATGAATAAATGCGCATATAAAAATGAATAAAGGCGCATATAAAAATGAATAAATGCGCATATAAAAATGAATAAAGGCGCATATAAGAATGAATAAAGGCGCATATAAAAATGAATAAATGCGCATTTAAGAATGAATAAAGACGCATATAAAAATGAATAGACGCGCATATAAGAATGAATAACCCTGTAAAACGTGTTTTATGAGTAAAAATAAACAAAAAACTAACTTTGCGATTAACCGCAAGATTGCGCATAAATTTCTACACAATGCCTTGTGTTGTTTGTTTAACACAAGGCATTATGTTAAATTAACATCGTCTTGTGTTGTTCATATATGACAAAAGTTTTGTGTTACGGAACACACAAGCTTGTGTTGTTTTAACACAACGTTTTTTAGAGTGTGCGTTTTACAAATGTATGTACGACTCATTTTATTTTAATAATTTTGAGATAGATAGCAAAGGCTGCCATATTTATAAACGTTTTAAATAATTAATAACTATTAATTAGTTTAGCCGCGCTCATCTTAATGGATAAATGTGAGCAAATAGCATTTTTACACTTCCCCGAAAAACATTTAGGGTAGATTAGGGTAATATGAGCAACTTAAGCGAAAATTGGAGTATTTTCATAAATCATAATTATGCTGGACCCAATATTTTTGCAAATAAACAATTTTAAGGGATCCCTACTTATGTCCACTTAGATATTTAGGCACCTGACATTTT